GTCATAACCAGCAGAAATGTAATATTTAATGAAATGGACATGCCCTGTACTAAAGAAAAAGCACCTGCAACCCCTCAAATAAGTGAAAATAATTCATATCTTCAATCTGAAATATCCCCACGCATCTCAGATCTTGAAACTAATTATCAGATTGAGGTGGAGCTTACTAATGAACAAGAAATAGCCCCTGAACCTGAATTTAAACAAGAGATTGAATCTGAACTTGTTCCACCAATAAATCCCTTAGAAGACTATCAACTTATTAGAGATAGAGGAAGGAGGGAGATAAGACCACCTACAAAATACAATGAATTGGATCTTGTCACTACCTTAAACATACAGAATTTTCTAGACAATGAACCTAATTCCTATGAAGAGACCATTGGGGGGAAAAATTCAAGTTCTTAGCTTGCAGCTATGAAGGATGAAATGCTTTCACTTGACAAAAATAAGATTTGGGTCTTAGTTAATAAACCAAAAGGGGGAGAGGTTATTGATTGTAAATGGATTTACAAAATCAAAGAAGGTGACTCAAAAGATGGAAATGTAAGATTTAAGGCTAGACTAGTTGCAAAGGGCTTTAACCAAAGAGAAGGAATTGACTATAATGAAATTTTTTCACCTGTAGTCAAATATACTTCTATAAGAATTCTTCTTTGTATTGTTTCACAATTTGATTTTGAACTGGAACAGTTAGATGTAAAAACTGCTTTCTTACATAATAACTTAGAAGAAGAAATTTATATGACCCAACCTAAAGGTTTTGAACAAAAAGGAAAGGAAAACTGTGTGCGCCTTTTGCAAAAATCAGTCTATGTGCTGAAACAGGCTCCTAGACAGTGGTACATCAGGTTTGATACTTTTATAAAAGGTCTTGACTTTAATAGGAGTGAATATGATCCCTGTTTCTATTATAAAGGTGGTGGAGGTCGTGATTTTTATTATCTTTTGCTTTATGTTGATGATATGTTACTTGCTGGGTGTGATGTAACTGAAATAAATAATATTGAGCAAAAGTTAAAATAAGAGTTTGAAATGAAAGATTCAGGATCAACTAAAAGAATCTTGGGAATGGAAATTAGGAGAAATAGAAGTGACAACACACTATTTCTAACTTAAGAGTCATATGTTTCCAAAATTCTATGTAAATTTGCTATGGATAAAGCAAAAGAAGTTACCTCACCACTTGGCAGTCATTTTAAATTCTCTACTGAACAGTGTCCTAAAACTGAGATAGAAAGAAATAGAATGGATAAAATCCCTTATGCAAATGTTGTAGGTTCAGTAATGTACATTATGGTTTGTACAAGGCGTGACCTTGCTTTTGTTATAGTGTACTAAGTAGATATATGAGTAATCATGGTGAACAACACTGGGAAGGCATGAAATGGCTACTTAGATATCTGAAGGGAACTTCAAATTTAGGACTAACGTTTGGAAAAAGGAAAACTGGGATTAAATTAAAAGGATTTGCAGATTCTGATTTTGCTGGTAATTGTGATAATAGAAAATCAACATTTGCATATGTCTTTACTTTAAATGACACCTGCATAAGCTGGAAATCACAGTTGCAAAAGATAGTAGCCCTGTCTTCTATAGAGGCTGAATATATTGCAGCCACAGATGCAGTAAAGGAAGGTATTTGGTTGAAAAATCTGTTGGATGAAATTGGCTTTACTGGTAATGATGCTTTAATACATTCTGACAGCCAATCTGCTATACATCTTAGTAGAAATCCTGTTTTTCATGATAGAACAAAACACATAAATGTCAAATTCCATTTTATAAGAGACATTATAGAAAAGAACATCATAAAAATTAAAAAGATTTCCACTAAGTGTAATCCAGCAGATATGGGTACAAAAATACTTCCTGTAAATAAATTTAGGGATTGTTTAAATCTCCTAAATGTTATTCCTAACTGAAATCTCTTTTGCAGGTATATAGAGCACATGATATCAAAGTAGGAGTTAACATCTAGTCCACAATGAAACCCAAAGGTGTCAAACAAGGTAGAGATTGTTAAATAAAATGCTTAACACCTTTGAGGCTCAATGATGGAACCCAACACTTGAGCCCAAGTTTCATGACCTAGTTTTTGCCCCCACTAGTGCAAAGTCGTGTTTCCTCCAAATGCGATTTTAGTTTGTTTTAATTGGATGGACTAGATGGTGCCAAGTGGAGTCGGCTGAGCCGTTGGATGCAAATGAAGTTCCACTACACTTGGCCCTAGACTTTTCACTTACCATTCATTCGAGAGACTTTTAGGGTTTAGCTTTTCATTTTTGTTCTCTGTAATTTTCTCTCTCGAAAAACCTCTAGTTTTTTGTTTTAATCTCTGAATCATTAGATGTTCTTGGTGAGATCTGGTTCGTGTACTTGGTGTAGAGATTGTATCTGTTCTTGGTTGAACAGTGAGGTTCGATTACTTGGTGTAATTTGTCTGTTCGATCTGTGAGGGAAAAATAAGGTCTGAAGGCTGATCTTTTTAGATCTATAGTTTGTAAACCTTGTATTGATACTCTACTGCTGATTTCCAACCACCTCGGTGGAAGCTCAACGTGGTGACGTAGCCCTTTTAGGTGAACATCCGGGCCTTCGGGCGAAAAAATCTTCGTATTCTTTTATAATTCTGTACTTTCTTTGGATTATTGGGACTGTTAATACCAACACCTATTCCTAGTTTTCAATTCAAAGTCAATTTAATCAAATTGACCTAAATTTTATCCAAATCTGTTATTTTACCGTAATGCCCTTTTTATCGTTCTGGAGAAATCTAATTGAAGCTCGAAATACCTCTCTTAATTTGAGCTAGCTATCTTCCTCTACCTGTAATTTTAACAATCAAATCTATGAAGAACTCGACAAAAAGAAACACAAAAAACACATGAAATTGGATTACGTTATTTTGTAAAAGTTAAAATTGGACATATCATTAATTGAATCAATGTAACTTTGTAAATATTAAAAAATTTAATTATAATACAGAACCTAAGAACCGAACTGAATTGAATGAAATCAAACCCAAATGATTTGATAATTAAATTTAGATCCGATGGTTCCACTTACTAAATATCTAAAAAATTCGGGTCCAATTTGATTCTCGTTAGAACCAAACTGAATTGATCATGTCCAGCCCTATGTGTGTGAACAAGTAATGGTAGGTTTTGATTGCAAACTTTTACAAATAAAGATACCATGTTGAATCAAGGTTATAAAAGTTTTTTACAAGTAAATAAATTTAGGTTGTGCTACATGAATAATAATTTATATACACACAACGTAGTGAGATATGATTGGGTTGCAATTTCTTCACCCAAATTTAAAAAATAAAAGAAAAAAATGAAAAAGAAAATTCCCCACTTTGTTTTAGACATCTTATCTGTATGTAAACAAATTTGTAACTCCTTGTGTACAAATAATATTATTCAATAAATTTACCTTTCGCAAACTACATAACTTGAGATGAGTGATGCATAGAGAGCCAAAGGCCAAAAAACTTCGACCATTCTTTTGAGGGCACCAGTGGCTTAACAACAATGGTCAGATAAGATTGTTAATGTGTTTGATTAAGTTGGACCATATGACATCTGGGGTGTGTGCATCTGAGCAGATAACTAATGCGTTTGATTCACTACAGCTGATATATTTACTCTTCGCTTCTGAAACGAATAAGTATACAAAAAGTTTATACAGAATATGAGTGGATTATAGTGTTTCCGAGGCATTCGGTAAAAGAGACTCGAGGAAGAATCTATTCCAACTCGAAAAAAATGATGCTATCGATAAATCTCTTGATATTCTATAGGAATCAATGAGCTTCGAAATTGTGTTCACCTTGTATTCAGTTTCTCAATGAATCAGAGGTGGTTTTTAAAAAAAATAAAAATTGCAAGCTTTGAACTGGAAAACAATAATCAGAAGTCATCAAAACCAGAAACTAATCTCCAACGATAAGAAGTTAAGAACCAATTCAAGATCCTCTCATCTCAGAAAAATTTACACTGACATATGATGCAAATTCTATCCCATTCCTCTCTCAATCGTGTCGAGTCTTGTCCATACTAGGGTATCAAAAGTGCCTGTAAATGTTGTTCGGTCTTTCAAAGTCTATATCCAATAATTACTTACATTTCATAATTAACTTCACCCAAAAAAAAAAAGCTTCTGACCTTCTGTGAAATAATTTGTCTTACATTTTCTCATCTTGATATATAAAGAGTAAATAACTAGCATAATAATTATAAATAATGAACTGTAGAAGAACATAATGTATTTTTATAATCAATTTCAAACACCGTTCACGTTAGTAAAACATCCATGTTTCAGACAACAGATACTAGCCTTAACAGAGTATAATATAGCTTTCTCAATTACTAAACACCTTTGGTAATGCAGAGAAACAATATGGTTAATACATCGACACAAACTAAACTTTGAAGCTAATAAATTTCAAGTTGGCATTCATACAACAAGAATGAACCGAGAAAATCATCAAAATTCTGACCAACCATTCATGTTGACACTTGACTGAATTTTCTAATCATTTTCATGATAAACATAGCATTTTCTCTCGTAGTGACCAATTTTAAATTAAGGATGAAGGCGAAGTTAGTTCGCGTATATAGCAATAACATATTCACAAGCCAAGTCTTCGGCCTATATCAACTTCATTAACCACAAGGTGAAAGTCTCTATCGTACATGGTCAAATCAGGCAGGAAAACTCAGCAAACAAATTTGAATCTAATGAGCCAGTTAACAAGAACATGTGCATTGCCAACCTGTCCTACGTCGAAAAACTTCCATAGATTAATTAATTCCTACTTAGAGAAAACAACCAAAGACTTTGGAGACCCATCATTGTCTATGATTTTTCATCAAACCTAGGCATAGGCATTATTTATTTATGACATGCAGAGAGGTATTGTATGTACTGATAAAAAAGGATGTAATGAATTTAATTAATTGATAATCATGATCATATGGATGCACTCAAGGGAAAAAGTCCAATAATCTCTCTTTCTGATATCACTCTCCATCCCAAATCAAAGAGATATAGGAGCCAATTGTTCAACATTTGTCTGATCCAACATGTATTTTGCCAAAAATACAGAGAGACGGAATGGAATATATAATAATTTCACAGAATTGTAATGATAATGCATAGCCAAAAGGGATGACGAAGTACCATTGCCAATATTAGGTAAACTAGGGAATGAGAATTCACTGAGGGCTACTGCCTGCACCCACAGACATATTGCTTATTGGAGTCAATCCCAAAGGTTGCTCACGAGCTTTGCTTCTCTTAAATAGAGGTTCAGGCAGTGATGAAAGAGGTGGTGCAACTACCCACGAATCATTGGAGCTATCACAACTAAAATATGCATCGGTCACGCCATTTGGACTGCCTGGAATGGACTCGTGTTTGCGCTTGTGGCATTGCTTCTGACCATGATCATCAATGATGTCCAGGATAAGTTCATAGCAATCATCAATCTTTTCCTGTTGTGATTAATGATGGGAAGTGAAACTCTAAACTGACGTATAGGAAATGTTTAGATTCAATATATAAACCAAGATAAGTTAACAGGATGGATTAGAAATGGAAGCACTCTGTTGTGATTAATGATGGAAAGTGAAAGTTTAAACTGACGTATAGGAAATGTTTAGATTCAATATATAAACCAAGATAAGTTAACAGGATGGATTAGAAATGGAAGCACTAGAACAGGCAGACCTTGCTGATTTTGAGCGCACTCATAAGCTGATTTTCGAATTGCTTTGCATCACAAGGCTCAATATCTCTAATGACATATATCATCGTTACAGCTGCAACAACGGATGGAAGGCAACCCAAAAACCTAAAATCTGCGTTCAGTGTACAAAATTAACAAGATAACAAAACAAACCACTGCAAATCATAAAAATTTACTTGCACAAAAGATGTTGAAACCAAAACTAATGATCTCCATACCGGTGATAATAGAGAGGAGAAGGCTCTCACACCTACTCAAGAACTGTGAATGGGGGTTATTCATGAACCCAAATCTCCTCACAATGTGGTCAAAGAATGAGATTGGGGTTACAGGATTCATTTTCCAGTGAAGAGTGGATAGCACCAAAAGTTCCATTCTCTGAATAGTCTTCGCCTCAAACACGTACTTTGATTCTTCCACCTAAAACATCCCCAAACCCAATCAGGAAACAAACAGAAATCCCAAAATTCTGTCATATAATTTCTCTTCGGCATTTATACAAACACTTAAATTCCATACAGGAAACATATATATAAAGAAACTTACTTGAAGATCTAATAGAAGAGGCACTTGAGTTTCCTCCACCTTTGCAGCTATTGAAAGACAGGCCACAGCAGCTAATTGGCTCATCCATGGCTTATCCTTCTGAAAGCAAAAGCTCGTAACAAACCTATCATAGTAATTAGCAGCTAAAACAGCAGTCAAAGCAGTAAATCCATAGTGCTCAGTAACCTTTAGAATCCATTTAATAACCTCCTTTCTAACAGTTACTAAAGACCCATCTGAATTTATTTCCTCATAAATCAAGCGGCTCTGTTTTTCCTTATACAAAAGGTTCACAAGTTCATCATCTTCCCAGAAAAGGTCATGTTCAAAGAAGAAGGGCAAGGGCTTTTTATAAATCTCATGGAAATCATTAGTTTTATGTTCTTGGAAGCCAAACCCAAGATTCAAATCTTCCTCAAAACGCTCTTCTGCACAATAAAGGGCATCAAAAATCGGACATTGGAGAAGGGACTCTAGTTCTTGGGAAAGAGAAACCATCCTCTTCTACTAAGTAGAAGACACAGAGCCCTTTGCTCATTATCTATAGGAGATGAAATTTAAAGCTCAAAAGACTCAATCTTGGGCTCAGTATCATATCTGCTGATGTTTATTTTTCTATTATCCTTTTTATTTTTCCTCCTCTCTGTGTACCTGTGGAACTGAAAAGAGAGAGAGCGATGCAGGGTGGGGGCTGATATTAACGAAAGAGGTCAGCAGTCGAATGGTCCTCAACATTTGCCTGAATAACAAGTGAGTCTTAATCTTTAAAGAGGAGCAAGTTGATCCTCAAAATTTTGTTATGGTTAGGCAGTCGGTTCAGAAATAAATGGAATAGTCCAAATTTCTAAAGACGGTCGGCTGACCCAAGTCGTTAGGTAAAACTAATTTCATACCTTCAGTTGATTGCTTTACTTTATCACTGATTCTTTCATCAAACTATTTCTTTCTTTGAATTATGCATTTTTCTTGGAATACAACTTCAATTCTCATTTTACTTGTCTTTTATGTCACCTCGTCCATGGCAATAGAAAATCTAGTTTTTCTATAAACTTCGAGAAATAAAACAATTCTTTGTAACAAGTTGATAACACCATTAATATTCATATTTTCGATTTAAAAAAATTTACTCGTACTATTTTATAACAAAAAGCCTTACGCAACCAAGCCCTTGTTTGAGCCCCATTTTGGTGAAGCAAATGAATTTTTGAATAGTATATTGACAGAAAATGTATGATTAAAAAATAAGGAAAAGTTTTGAATCTACGTGAAATATTATTTTATTGAAAAATGTGTGGTTGAAATAATATTAAAATACTGTTTAAAAATATTTTTTTTAAAAAAAAAAAAATGGGACTCAAACATGAGCCAAATTTTCCCTTTAAATAAAATATTAAGCTTTAAAGCTAAACGAACAAACCTAATGTAAATGGTGCCCGGGGGTCAAAGACAAATCTAACTTGCCCTAACATCTGCTTTCAACGTCTTTTTTTAATCAAGATAAGACAGGGAAAAGATATAAACAAATATTAAGTTGAATTTCGAAATAGATCTAACAATTTTAAAACAAAAGACCACAAAATTACAAAAAAGGGAAAATTCATTAAAATATTACGACTTTAACCTACTAAATAAGCCTTATGAACAAAAATAATAAAAATCATAGGGGACTAAAATAAGATGAACCTTAGAAATTCAAAAGCAATGGAGATGATGAGTGTGTTTAGTTGAGTAATTAATTTCTTTTGTGGAATTTTCCAAATCCATGGAGTGATTTTGACAGTTGCTTTTTGGGTGTTGAGATGGTGGTGGATCAACACCCTCCTGTTTGTCTGGTAGTGCTCGGCGTTTCGTCTACTCCGTCTTGTTTGTCGGGTAGTGCTCGGCGTTTCATCTACTCCGTCAAGTATATATGACCTGAAAAATGAAGGCGGGGTTTCCTCTCCCGTTTTACCTCCGGTGTGAGAATTAGTTTATAGGCTTGGAAAAATGTGATTGGAATTCTAATGGTGAAAAAGAGAGATAGAGAGAGAAAACCTTCTACCTATGTCGCGTCCGGAGGTATTTATAGACATTAAGGGCCGGATAACCGCTGGGCGGATGTGGTGCCACGTGTCCCACGTTGGCGTTCCCATTATGCCCACGTTTTGAGTGGGGGGTCTCTAGTTTCCCGCCTAGAAATTGTTTTAGTATTAGCGGTCATGGAACCTAGTTAATTCACTATGAGTTTTATGGCTAAGTGTTTGAATAGGTAGTCCCATACCAGTTGTAGACCTCGCGTAGGGTGGAGCGCCCCTAGGGGGACAACGACCTCGCGCAGTGGTAGAGCGCCCCTAGGGGGGGTCGACGACCTCGCGTCGAAGTGCTGTGATCCATCTTGCTTGCCGTCGAAGGTGATTTCCTCTACCAACCTATATCAGGTATGAAAATAATATAGGGATCTCAAAATTTTCAAGAAAGTTTTTACATAATTGAACTTGCCTTAGAGAAAAAGTATAAGTCGGATCAGGTTTATAGAGTTATAATTGTTCTTACGAGTGTATTAATGAGGTCATTCTTATTGAGCTTCTCTATATCCAATCCAAATCTTTCTGTTGGGCTTAGATTTTTTTGTAAATATGTAATCGAAAACTACAAATTTTATAGTATATATGTACTAAGTTGCTTTGAAATTAAAAAAGAAAGAATTTGGGGCTCCCTTTAATGTTAGGCCTAAGGAGCAGGACTCACTCGCTCCACCCCGATATCGATCCTGAGTAAAACTTATTTCATACAATTGGTTGCAACTGCATGGCAATTTAACAAAGATTTAGATATTAGGGATTGATAGTGAAAAAAACAAATTATATTGAAAGGTTGAAAACTAATTATTATATATTAGAGGTTAGAGACATATTTAGTACGGATGCAAAAGATTAAAGACTAATGGTGAAATTGTCTCTTTCGTCTAAGAATATTTTCATGCCTGGATAACAAGTGAGTCTTCAATATTTAAAGAAGAGCAAGTTGATCCTCAAAATTTTGTTATAGTTACGCAATTGATTCCTACAAAACAGAAGTAATCCAAATTTCTAACGATGGTCGCCTGACCCAAGTCGTTAAGTGAAACCCAATAATTGATTGCATGGAAATTTAGCATAGATTTGAATATTAGAGATTGATAGTGTAAGGTTGAGAACTAATTTGTTATATATTAAAGGTTAAAGAGTATTTTGGTATGAATGCAAAAGATTGGAGACTAATGATGAAATTGTCTCTTCCGTCTAAGAATATTTTCACGCCTGTCCTCTTCAACTTTCTTTTTCTCTGATTTTTTTTTGATTAATTTTTGTTTTATTTGAAGAGATTTTTACTTATTTTGGGCATTTTGGCGCTCAGGCAAAAAATTGGTATTTATTTATTTGTGGCCCATATGTACAGAAAATGTCATATGTATGTGCCTATGTCGGATGTTAGATTACAAGTACTGGTTTAACAATTAGGAGGGTGTTTGGTGGGGATTAAAAATAAATTTATTAGTAAACTGTGATACAAATTTTTTAAATATATGGTTGAAAAGTTATGGAATCCATGAAAAATATGATTAATATTGATTGTTTAATTTTGACTTAAATTAAAATTAGATTTTAATCCGTATCAAACGGGCTCTAGTAAATGGATAACAAAAACAACATTTTTTGAAAGCTAATCTAAGTTGGAGAAACGTGATAAAAACTTGTGAAATATTTAGCCCTTGTTTGAGCCTATTTTTTCAAGAATGTATTTTTTCAAAATTTATTTTTAACCACATATTATTCTATAAAATAATTATATTTGTATTTCAAAAACTTTTTCTTACTTTTTAACCACACATTTTCCAAAAAATTACTATCCCATAAAGCATTTTATCCCAAAAATGGAAATCAAATAGGGGCTTAATGATGTTCGATTTGGTCAAATGTACGACGCATGTGACTACGTATAATACTTTCATGCTTAAGTGGAAATTTTCCACGGATTCATACAATAGAGTTTCAAATAATACAGAAATTAAAGATTGTAAACAATAGACCTTAAATGACTTTGGTGTGCTGGTACAATGAATGTTGTGTTAGTCTCCAATAATGCATTACTTTTGTGTTTTTTGAAAAGTATTATAGGAATAAGCTCATTATTTTTTTTGAGTGGTAAAAGGTTGAACCCCAACCTTGAGAGCTCTCACCGTCCTGTCCTTGGAGCATCGTAAGGGAGATAAATCGCAAGATATGCTCCAACAGGCCAGGAAACAAGAACTTGCACGTAGACAGGTGTCCACAGAGAGTCCAATTTCATATATCAGGAATCGAACTCTCACGCTGTAGTTACTAGCAAAGTTGAGACTACCTTACTCTTATCTTTTGCACCACTAGATTATGCCCCCGGGGCGATTAAGCTAATTATTGCCCATCTTCAAAGATGAGAAAGGTTGTTCATGTACAATAATTATAATGGACATGGAGATTTATTTTACCATTTATTTCTGTAAAATACAATCATATCAAAAGAATTCATCTACATTTATGATTATTATTGGTATATGAGGTGGTAAGGTTATTTCACATTGCTCAATAAATAAAAATGTATTATAAATTTATTGAACAATGTGATTGCAACATTTCCAAATCTAGATGCCTAGATTTAGATGTACTATTATTTAATTTCCTCTTAAAACCATAAATGTAGAAAACTGATTATAAATTTTGCTTTAACATAAAAATAGTAATGACTTTCACTTGAGGAAATTTTTTTAGAAAACTTTTATATTTAATTAAAATACAAGACAATCAAATTAAAAGTTCAACTTATTTCAAATTGAGTCAACACTAAATGTATTAGTACCGAGTTCATCTCACCACAACTAGTAGTCTTAAATCATCCTGTATACATCATTTGAAATTGGGAAGCGACAATGTGAAATGAGCTAACGCTCAATAAGTGAACATCATGCATATGATATTATGATGTATGATTATGATCTGCATATGAATTACTTTAAGATAAAAAGCATTTTTCAATACTTTTTTTTTTTTAATTTCTTTGAAAAACTTAAAGTTGATATCGTGAGCTCACTTGGTGTATCGTATAGCCAATCATAATGTAGTGCACAATTATTATTTGGAATCTAATCGAGTCCTACCAGTAGTATCGAAAAGCGGTTAACATTAACATTATCACGAACATTGGTCAAGTGCATCGGGCCCACACGCTCCATTTCTCACTCATACATTTCATACTATAGACATGCACCTCGTAACAAAATATTCGAGATACATATAAAAACGTTAATTGACTCACAACATTTGAAAACTTTTAATTCCTTGAAACCTTATGTATGCTTATGAATGTATCGACATGTAAGAATATGTCATAAGAAGATAACATAAAACGTAATAATCAAATATCAAGATCACATAATAACAAATTTTGGTAACACATTCATACATTTAATAACGTAACGTGCGCAGTGAGACAATGGGAGGTTTACTTACCTTGGATCATTGACAATTTACTTTTTAAATAGCCAATGGGTATATATATTCCTAATTGTCCATAAAGTTAACATACCATAAGTCCTAAATCATTACCATTTATTTAGAAACATCTAAGTACACATCATTTATTTACTTATTATTGACCCTTTAGAAACATCATC